AAAGAATTGGGTGTGCTTGGTTGTAAGCCTTCGGTGATGTTAAAAGTCAGAGCTTCGCAGGCCAGAGGTCCAACCGGCTTGGTGTGGACCAATAAAACAGAAACAACTAAACAAACACATTAGGTGTCCTCTACATCCACATGGCTGGAGGAGGATCAAATAATAAGGCCATGCCTGTGGCTTTGCAGTCAATGCAATATCTCTGCAAAGTATTGCAATCCACAGTTCACTGACCCTTGATATAGGCATATCATCACACTCCCTTCATGCGAAACGTAAACTGGCCCCCGATTCAAGCAGATTCAAACGGATGAACCAGTGAAATGGAAGCCTGTAGTATCCTTTTTTAAAAAAAGTCTAATAAAGACATGAAGGGTTTTTCTCTACAGCAGTGAGCACATTCTGCATTGCGTTAACCTGCTGACACTATTTGTAATGGCATAGAAAGGTCACTAAAGCCTAAATCTGCTCGGTGAGATTCGCTACCACGATCTTCTCAGAAACACACGCTTTATTAAATATCAGCTCTCATCTTATTTCCAAGAAGGCCATCCAAAGGTTACAGTGGGCTCAGGTGTGCCGAGCGTGGCTGTTATTGTGTCTTGCATTTGCATAGCATCTGCCCTGGGAATCATTTAGCCCAGGTCCTCCGTGGTCTCACATCAATCTGCAATCCATTCTGGTAACATGAGGACAGGGGAAGCTACTTTTTGTAAATGGGAACACTAAAGTCAGACACAGAGACTAAGTATTCTCGCTAACGAAATTAATTCTCTCTCTCCTTAAAGTAGCGATTCCAAGAGGTGGCACAATTACTTGTAGGGAGGAAGAAATGAGGGGCCCAACATCAACATGAGGGGTGGGGGCTTTGCAAACCTTCCCGATGACCCCCATGGGCGAGCACCAGGCACATGGGGAAGCTGCCTCATGATTTCACTCCTGCTTCCGCGGGACGTGCTAGTTTACAGGGGATGTGCGTGAGTCGATGAAATACCCAGTGTCCGCTAGAGACCTAATTCACTCTGATTTGATAAAGGGTAAAGTGATTTAAAAACAGTAAATCAAGGGAAAATGCAGGTTGTTTACATTTCTGTTTTGCTTGTTTAGATGCACAGAGACGAGCATTGTGGTTACTCTGGTCCTGTGTATTTTCTGAACTTTCCATTTCTGCTTCTGCTGCCTCAGTCTCCCCATGTTTCACAGTTACTGACCAAGGAATCTGCTGCACTCAGCTTATATTTTGGGCAGGCGCTTCAAAGTCGTATGCCAAAGGCATCATCTACAATCTGGGTTCTTCCTTGTCCAGTGGGGCTGCGGTGAAAGGAGACAGGGAGAGGATGCCGCAAAACATAGCTGTAGCACATGGGGCCATGGATGGCTGGTTTGGGAGAAGTGGGGGCAGGAATACAGAGTTGTTTGTTTCGTTCACATTTTAAGGAATAAAATTAGCCAGGCACGGTGGCTCACACCTGTAATCCCAGCACTTTGGGAATCTGAGGTGGGAGGATCGCTTAAACACAGGCGTTAGAAACCAGCCTGGACAACAAAGCGAGACCCCCATCTCTACAAAAAAATAAGACAATCAACTGGGCATGGTGACACACACCTGTAGTCCCAGCTACTTGGGAGGCTAAGGCAGGCGGGTCACTTGAGCCCAGAAATGTGAAGCTACAGTGAGCTGTGATCATGCTACTGCACTTCAGCCCAGGTGACAGACTGAGACCCCCAACTCCAAAAAAAAAAAAAGGAAAAATAAAACAAAATATATTGCTTAATGAGAAAAAAACTTCTGCATGCACATACATTTAATATAGTAAACTTTCAAAATAGCTAGACTGTCTCAAAAATAATTCCCAAAAGAGGATGCATCAGTTCATCAGTTTAAACTGGGCCAACATAAACAAGTGAAATGATCTTTTTGGAAGTGCTGTGGCAAGTCACAGCTCTTTTTGCCTAAGTACTTTATTAAGAAGATATTTCCCCCCCGTTACTGTGTCTACCTTTTAAATTACTTAACAAGAAGTGACTTCATGGTTATAAGAAAAAAATGCAAAAATGAGTTAATGAGCACGGCAGGGGAGTTGTGACTGCAGTCACAACTCACCTCCTATCCCCACCAAAAGAAAAACAGAGCCAGGAGGGACTGATGACTTATGCAAAGCCATAGCACTTTGTCAGCTGAGAATATTTCCTTTGGTCAAGGCAATAATATTCTAGCCTGACCTGGCAAGGCTACTCACAGGTAGGAACACGCAGGTGGAATCCTGGGGCCAGGGTCAGTAGAAGGAGCTAATATTTGGCCTCTTGTCCAGGATGTAGAGAGCAGAGTCCTTTCACCTGCAGTAGGAAATCTCTGCTCACCCTCATTTCCCCAGTCATCTCCTGGGAAAGGACTTCCTGTCCTTGCCTCTTTCAAACCTCCCACTCTGTCCCTTTATGTCTCTGATCCCCACGCCTTTGTGGCCTGCCCCCAAACTGCCTCCAGGTAGCAGCTGGCTCCATCTCCCTGCAGTATCTGTAACATTCAGATGAGCCCAGACATACTAGTAAAGTGGGTTAGCACCTCGGGTTCCTTAATATGAAAATGCTAATGTGAAAACCACATGAGAAAAAGAGAGCTCAAGCCCTTAATGCCAAATGGGAATTCATTCACGAATTCGTATTTTCACATTTCCATTCTTAAGTCATACCATACATTACAGCCGCTCTCCACCCTACCCCCCACCCCTGTTGGGCATCTCTCCAGCATAGGAGCTTCTGTCCTCATAGCTTTTTCTTCATTATCATCTCAGAGAGGAACAACAAAGGGGAAGAAAGCTAATACAACTCCTTTCTTCCCCAGTTGTCTTCTGATCCTAACCTCATCATGGGAAATATGTGGTCTACATGCTCTCGTCCTTCCTTCTGCTCCAGGGCAGACATTGATAGTCAATCACAGAACTCTTGGAGCCTGGACACACCTTCCCGGTACTTCCCATCATGGTGCTGCAGGCACTGTGTCAGAGACACTTGAACAGAAATGGTTCACAAGATGAAATCTATTTGGCATCTTCCAACAACAACAGCTCTGCCAGATCCAGAGAGCACGGGATCTTTTCATAAACTCTTTTCAATGTTCTTTTTCTAATATTTTTGTCTTTGAAAGGTCAAGAAGATATAAAAGAAGAATTTTCTATCACTCAGGCTGCCATTTTAAGAAATCATACCTGGAACAAGAGTGGAGGAACTACTTGCCGTGGCCTAGTGCCTCACTTAATTCTACCATGACCTATACAATAAAAGTCCTGTTGTCACCCCATTTTGCAAGTGAGGTAGCTGGAGAGGTTGAGTAGCTTGTCCAAGGTCATGTGGTTATGAAAAGTGAGAGCCAGCATCTAAATCGAGAATCACCCTAACCTTCACTCCTGCAGCAGACACTCCACAGTCATCCCCTTCTCTGTCCTCTTGGGGGCTCTGGCCATAAGCACTGAAGCCCACCTCCTGGGAACTAAATGAGCTGCCTCAGACAAGACACATCAACTGCCAGAAAGGAGCCAGTAGCCTGAAGGGAATTCAGAGGAGAGCCACATGAATAATTAAGAGCCTAGAAGGATTGATCTGTCAGGAAAGATTAGAAGAATTCAATATGTGTAGTTTGCCTAAGCTGAGACCAAGGGAGGAGGAGGCTGGGGGCTGGGAGGAGCCAAGAGCAAAGTCATTGCAGAAAGCCTGGGTTTCCCCGCTTGCTACAGCGCAAGGAAGCAAAGCTGAGAGGAAGACACGACAGAGAGGAAGTGCAGAGGGAAGGATGAAGAACGATCTCCCTGGGAAGAAAGTTTTCTCCAGGATCTGGGGAGGAGTTCCATCCAGGCACCCTGAGCGAATGCACAAAAGCCCAGTAACTCCCTTCCCTTTTTTCAAGAGGAATGTTATTTCCCTAGCAGGGTATTCAATTCGAGGTCCTTGCCATGTCTCTCCTGCCTCCGGGTCTTCCCCAGGCCTCTCACATCTGGCATTGATCTGCTTTACTCCACACAGAGCCAACTCTCAGTTACCCAAGATGCAGCAGGTTTGGAGCAAGCTAACGTGAGCACTGACTTTGTCAGGCCCTGCACCGAGCATTGTACAAACACTCCAACCCCAAGGTCACAGACGTGGTTAGTCCAGTGTGTAATTATTCTTAAATTCTAAGCCCCACACTAAATATGTGTTTCTTAAGGTAAGGTAATTCTCCAAGCCAAGCACTGGGCTACAACTGGGTCTCTCTATAAAACTTGGTCCTAGCCGGGCTCGGTGGCTCAGCCTGTAATCCCGCGCTTTGGGAGGCTGAGGTGAGTGGATTGCCTGAGCCCGTGGGTTCGAGACCCACCTGGGCAACTTGGCGAGACCTCATCTCTACAATAAATCAAAAATTACCCGGGCGTGGTAGTGCGTGCCTGTTGTTCCAGCTACTTGGAAGGCTGAGGCGGAAGGATCGCCGGAGCCCAGGAGCTCGAGGCTGCGGTGACCAGGAGTGGCCACTGCACTCCAGTCTGGGCGACAGAGTGAGACTCCAACTCAAAAAAACAAAAAACAAGCAAAAAAAACCCAAACTTGGTCCTTGTCCTTATGGGTTGTCTAATCCCATAAGACAGATATTAAAGTGATACTTACACAAGCCATTGATGTGAGATGGTGTGAAATACCACGAAGGTAGAGAATGTGATGATTCTGGTACTATGAAACAAGAGGACAACTCCATCGAAGGAGGAAGAAACGTTTCCTCCAGGAAAGGGTGGTGAAACCAAGGCCTGCGTGTTAGGTAGGAAGTGGGCTGCAGTGCAGGGAAGAACGAACATTCCCCAAAGAAAGCTCTCACCTTTTCCCTTAGCCCCTGGAATACCATGTTTGATAAGAGTATCTTTACTTGTTTGAGGGTTCTGGCCACCGAATAGTCTAACTATGTGATCTATTTATTTATTTATCTTTAAGATGGTTACATGTTTTTGTTATTTATTTTTTTAAATTTTAGAATAGACATCTTGCTTTCTTTTAAGTCGGCTGTGACCGTGGATCAGAGCAATCTTGAGCCATGAAGCTGCTAACCAGAGCCGGGTCTTTCTCGAGATTTTATTCCCTCAAAGTTGCCCCCAAAGTTAAAGCTACAGCTGCACCTGCAGGAGCACCTCCTTATCCTCAGGATCTTGAGTTCACCAAACTACCAAATGGTTTAGTGATTGCTTCTTTGGAAAACTATGCTCCTGCATCAAGAATTGGTTTATTTGTTAAAGCAGGCAGTAGATACGAGGACTCCAACAATTTAGGAACCTCTCATTTGCTGCGTCTTGCATCCAGTTTGACTTCAAAAGGAGCTTCATCTTTCAAGATAACCTGTGGAATTGAAGCAGTTGGTGGCAAATTAAGTGTGACCGCAACAAGAGAAAACATGGCTTACACTGTGGAATGCCTGCGAGGTGATGTGGATATCCTAATGGAGTTCCTGCTCAATGTCACCACAGCACCAGAATTTCGTCGTTGGGAAGTAGCTGACCTGCAGTCTCAACTAAGGATTGACAAAGCTGTGGCCTTTCATAATCCACAGGCTCGTGTCATTGAAAATTTGCATGCTGCAGCTTACCGGAATGCATTGGCTAATTCCTTGTATTGTCCTGACTATCGGATTGGAAAAGTGACATCAGAGGAGTTACACTACTTTGTTCAGAACCATTTTACAAGTGCAAGAATGGCATTGATTGGACTTGGTGTGAGTCATCCTGTTCTAAAGCAAGTTGCTGAACAGTTTCTCAACATGAGGGGTGGGCTTGGTTTAGCTGGTGCAAAGGCCAGATACCGTGGAGGTGAAATTCGAGAACCAAATGGAGACAGTCTCGTCCATGCTGCCCTTGTAGCAGAAAGTGCTGCCGCAGGAAGTGCAGAAGCAAATGCATTTAGCGTTCTTCAGCATGTCCTAGGTGCAGGCCCACATGTCAAGAGAGGTAGCAATACCACGAGCCACCTATACCAGGCTGTGGCCAAAGGAACTCATCAGCCATTTGATGTTTCTGCATTTAATGCCTATTACTCAGATTCTGGACTCTTTGGGATTTATACTGTCTCACAGGCTGCAGTTGCTGGAGATGTTATCAAGGCTGCCTATAATCAAGTAAAAACAATTGCTCAAGGAAACCTTTCCAGTACAGATTTCGAAGCTGCCAAGAACAAGCTGAAAGCTGCATACTTAATGTCAGTAGAGTCTTCTGATGGTTTCCTGGAAGAAGTCGGATCCCAGGCTCTAGTTGCTGGTTCTTATATGCCTCCAACCACAGTCCTTCAGCAGATTGATTCGGTGGCTAACACTGATGTCATAAATGCTGCAAAGAAGTTTATTTCTGGCCAGAAGTCAATGGCAGCGAGTGGAAATTTGGGACATACACCTTTTGTTGATGAATTGTAATCCTGAAGCACATGTTAAAGGAGAAAGGTTAACATTCTCTCACTCCAGAGCAGCAAATATGTGAAAGCCAGAAGTCACTGATGTAACGTTTATCTTTTTTTCAGTGAGATAAAAATACCTTAAAGCATAAATGAGCGTAATTATTTTCAGCTGACCTAAAGTCAATAAAACATTCTACTTAAAAAAAAAAAAAATTTTAGAATATAGGGTACAGTGAAGATTTTTTACATAGGTATATTGAGAGTAGGTGAAATTTGGGCTTCTGATGAGTCTCTCCCCTCCATGGTGAACATTGTGCCCACAGGGTAGTTTTGTAAGGCTTATTCACTTCCCTCCTTCTCTTCTTCAGCAGTGCCCAATGTCTGCTGTTCTTATCCGTGTGCCAATGCTTAGTATCCACTTATGAGTGAGAACACAAGAGATTCGGTTTTTTGTTTCTGTGATAATTCACTTAGAACGATGATCTCCAGCTGCATTTGTTTTGCTGCAAAGGACACGATTCCATTCTTCTTTATGGCAGTGTAGTATTCCATGGTGTATATGTACCACCTGTTCTTGATGCAGTCCACCGTGGATGGACACCTGGGTTGGGTCCATGTCTTTGCTATTGTGCATAGTAGCAATGTAATTTGTGGTGGGAGCTTTGGGGCCACACATGGTCTAGTTCTCCAATTTCCAGAGGGTTGGAGACTACAGGTCAGCTATGTGGGAAGTATGTGTCTGGCTCCCGATAAAACCCTAGGCGCCAAGGGCTCAGGTGAGATACCCTGGCTGGCAATGCTCTGTGCATATTGTCACCCATCGACACCAAGAAAGTAACACCGTTCTGACTCCGTAGAAGGGATAACGAGAGCTTCTCATTTGGGATTTTTCCTGGACTCCATCCTTTGTGTGTCTTCCCTGGGCTGATGTTAATCTGTAGTCTTTCCCTTGCCATAAACTGTAACCCATGAGTGTAACAGCTTTCGGTGAGTTCTGGGAGTCCTCCTACACATTATTGAACCTGTGGATGGTTTTAAAACTGCACCCCCAAACTTGCAATCGGTGTCAGAAGTGGGATGGTCTCCTGTGAGAACTGTCCCTGTATACTCTTACAGGTGCTGAAAGAGGAAAAGTCTCCTAGGCAGAAAGAAAGGTGTGAGACAGATGTCTTCTGTTTTACATTCTGCATTGCACAGTTTGCTCTTAAAAGCAGTAATTGTTTTCTGAATGTACCCCTGAGCCTCCCTTTTTAATTCAATTGGCTGAATAATTGGCTATTATTTTCTTAAAAATTCGGCACCTAATGATTCCCGCTGGATTTATTTTTGCAGGATCTTCTTTCTGCAACCTCAAGACCTATTAATGAAACTGTGCTCCATGTATGTTTTTTTTTTTTCTATAAGAAAATAGTTTTCCAAGGTAATGGCAGGCTTTAGAAATGCTAAATTCACAGAGGACTGGAAAATATTTATAAGCAGTAAAATTTGATATTGTGGTTTGAGAAGGAGGAATTGAGCCCATGATTTTTTAAAAGGTAAATTGCCTGAAGAGTGGGAAGTATAACCCTGAATGACTGGGTGCGGGTTGGAGGAACTCAGCGAATAGCAGAAAGCAGGGCATCAAGTGACCAGGGAAACCAGCTAGGAAAGGATTGAGAGAGGAAGTTTTCCAGACAAATCTGGGGAAGAAAAACCTTGAACCATCACCTCAAGGTCCAAATAGCTATAGAAAAGCTCATCCAAATGGAAGAAGTTTGATTTTTATATAGTGCATCAGATGGTCTCTCTTCTCAAGTTCCTTCCTTAAACACTGGTTTCCCTATGGGATTCTTTGCTCTACCCACTTGCCTGAAGCCATTTTTAGGACACTGACAATTCTTGACCACTAGAGGCTGAGCTAGTTAGCTCAGAAAAAAACATATAAGCTGTAACTGTTAAGGATCAAACATATGTTATACAGAGTCAAGCTGTATCAGCCAAACTGCAATGCAGTAAAACCTGCTGCCTCCATATAATGTATTACCTGAGGCCTTCTCACTCTGTAATTGAGGAACTTTGTTTAAAAATAACATCATGGCTAAGAACATGGGCTCTGGAGTCAGACTCCAGATTCCAACTCCAGCACAGACAGCTGTGTGACCTTGAGCAAGTGACTAAATTTCTCTGTGCTTCAACTTCCTCCTGTGCATCATGGATATAATAACAGGGCCTACCTTTGAGGGTTTTTGTAAGGCTTAACTCAGTCAACATATATGGACTTCTCAGAATAGGGCCTAGCACATAATAATTGCTTAAAAGATATTAGAATCCTTCTGCAGGTGACAAAAAATGGTAGGCTAAAGGCATCATCTATCTCTCCAGTCAGAAACTGGAGTCATTCTAGCATCCAATATAGTACAACTGCTTACATCCTATTCCAGAAGTTGTTACTATTAGGACATCTCATCTGATGGGCAGGGAATGAATTCTTGTGAATCCTGATTGCTGGTGGTCAGAAGATCACCATCCAAAGACATTGTCCACAGGGGCAGAACTTGATCAGAAGTAAGTTCATATCAAGGCATCAAGTCCAGTGAGAGGGACTCTAAAAAGCAACACTTGATGGTGGGACTCTACAGAACAATGACTTTGACCTTGGAGTAGTAGAGGTTAGACATGCTAGACAGTAAAAAGAAGGATGCCCCAGGCAGAAGTCCTGTTCCATTCCTGAGCCAACCCAAGGTGCCAACAGTTGTTCAACATTTGCAAAGGATCCTAGCCTTGGCTGCATGAAAGAATTCCCTGGAGAGCCAGATGTGGTGGCACACACCTGTAATCCTTGTACTTTGGGAAGTCAAGGTGAGAAGATTGCTTGAGCCTAGAAGTTCAAGACTAGCCAAGGCAACACAACAAGACCTGGTCTCTAAAAAAGAAAAAAAAAGTGCATTTGTGGTCCCAGCTACTCAGGAGCTTAAGAGGAAGGACTGCCTGAACCCAAGAGGTCAAGGGGGAAGTGAGCTGTGATCACACTACTGTATTCCAGCCTGGGTGACAGAGTAAGACTCCAAGTCAAAAAAAAAAAAGAAGAATCCCATGGAAAGCTTTTAAAAAATACCAATGTCAGCCGGGCTTGGTGGCTCAGCCTGTAATCCCGCGCCTTTGGGAGGCTGAGCTGAGTGGATTGCCTGAGCCCGTGGGTTCGAGACCCGCCTGGGCAGCAAGATCTCATCTCTACAATAAATAAAAAAAAATCAGCCGGGCATGGTAGCGCGTGCCTGTAATTCCGGCTACTTGGAAGGTTGAGGTGGAAGGATCGCCGGAGCCCAGCAGGTTGAGGCTGCAGTGACCGGGAGCGGCCACTGCACTCCAGTCTGGGCAACAGAGTGAGACTCCAACTCAAAAAAAAAAAAAAAGAAAATACCAATGTCCATGTTTCATCCCAAGACAACCCAATTAGAATTTGAATACTGGCAGATGTTAGGAGGCTTCTTCCAACCTCTTATCCTCATGGTTCTAATAATATGTAATCAGGTTTGAAGATCACATGTCTAGAATCTACCCAACTGCTTCTCAAACTTTAATGTGCACAGGAATCACCAGGAGGCCTTGCTGAAATGCAGATTCTGATTCTGTGGGTCAGGGTGAAACCCAAGAACCTACATTTAAAACAAGTGCCCTAGTGATGCGGCTATTGCTGGTCAGTGGGCTGTGGGTGCCAGAACCTGGCAGCATAGGCAGTGGCTGGAGAAATGCCCAAAGGGGTGCTAAGTCATTGCAACTTGGCTACCGGGTTCTTGGATTGGGAAGTGTGTCTCAATCTGAAGTCCCGTTGGACAAGAAGACAGACATTAAACTGCAACCATCCTTCTCAGGTGGTCAGGACCCTGAGGTAGACATGAGGTTGCACACTTGAGCAATCAGTGAATTCAGCTATGTGGGACTGGGCCAGCACAGGAAGCATTTGGAGCCAGAATGAAGGCATCTAAGACTAAAAAGTATAAAGAATCAGAGAAATCAGGTATATAGGAGCATCCGATTTTTTAGTCCCTTCCCCATTTTCCCTGACTCCCAGCCCTGGCAACCATCATTCTGCTTTCTGTCTCTATGGTTTTTCTTACTCTAGTATCTCATATAAATGGAATCATATAGTATTTGTCCTTTGTCCCCCACTCCCATGTCTTTGTCTTTTTAAAACTGACTGATTTCATCTAGCATCATGTTCTCCAGTTTCGTTCATGTTGTAGCATTTGTCAAAATTTCCTTCCTTTTAAAGGCTGAATAACGCCCCACTGTTTGTATGGACCACACTTTGTTTATCCACTTAGTCACTGATGGACACTTGAGTTGCTTTTACCTTTGGCTACTATGAATAATACTGCTGTGAACATGGGTAGAAGAAAGATCTCTTCGAGACCCTGTTTTCAATTCTTTTGAGTATATCCCCAAAAGTGGAATTGCCGGATCATATAGTAATGCTATTTTTAAATTTCTGAAGAACTGCTATACTGATTCCCACAGCAGCTACACCATTTTCCATTTCCACCAACAAAGCACAAACGTTCCAATTTCTCCACATCCTCACCAATACCTGCTATTTTCTGTGGATTTTTGAAATTGTTGCCAACCTAATGAGTGTGAGATGGTATCTCATTTTGGTTTTTTGTTTGCATTTCCCTAATAATTCATGATGTTGACAACAGTAGTTTGGTAAAAATGGAAACTCTCTCTTAGCATCTCTAGACAACGTTTCATGACTTACTACCTCATCACACCTTCTCTTGTGTTCCCTGCCCAGAGCCATCCAGCATGTAGCTCTTGGTTTCCAGCTAGGTTGAAGAGTGCTTGTATCAAGGAGACATGCCTTGTCTCTACTGCTGCCTGGGAGTACATTGAGTCTGGCCAAGCTCAGAGTGACTTCTGTGTTCATGGACATTATGCTGGGACAGTTTGAGCCCACCAGATCTCCTCCTCAATCACACTATGGCTGAGAAAATGGGGGATCTGTGGGCAGGTACATTACAAATGCCAGGTCAGAAGTGCTGGAGAATGAATGGCCCAGACCCAGCTCCACCAGTGGCGAGGAGGAGCTGAGAATAAATATCATAGCTGCCTCTCCTCCAAACTGGGATAAATCTGATATGTGTTCTACGCTGTCTCCCAGAGTGGCCCATTGAGGGGAAGATGCTGGCAGTGGAAACCGGTTTGATAACATTCTCTTGTTTGTCTGCCTTTCC